GATGGCTCAGACGTTGAAATCGTGGGGAAAGGTACTGTAGTCTTCGCTGGAAAGAACGGAGAGAGGAGAGCTCTTAAAGACATATACTACATACCCGACCTGAAGCACAACATCATGAGTCTTGGGCAAACAACAGAGAACGGATGTGAGGTACACATGAAAGGCGAGATCCTAAAACTAAGTGATCCGCGAGGCAAGTTGCTTGTGCAAGTCAGAAGATCACAAAATCGACTCTACAAAACACCAATGGAAGTGTGTTACCCTAAGTGTTTCCAGATAATGGATGACGATATTACTCGGATATGGCATACACGGCTGGGACATGTAAGTTTTGGAGTAATGTCAAACATGGTGAAAAAGGCGATGGTGATTGGCATGCCAGCAAAACTACACGAGACAGGTGTATGTGTAGCGTGTTTGTCGGGAAAACAAACTAGAGTGTCATTCCCGACTAAAACCACTTTCCGTGCTACACACGCCTTAGAGTTGTTACATGGTGACTTGTGTGGACCAATATCGCCACCAACACCAGCTAACAACAGGTATGTGTTCGTTCTAATCGATGATTACTCGAGGTATATGTGGGCGTTACTGCTGAAGGAGAAGAGTGAAGCCTTCGATAGATTCAAAAGTTTTAAAGAACTTGTCGAAAAGCAAATAGGAACGACAACCAAAACCTTTCGAACCGATAGAGGAGGAGAGTTCACTTCAGCAGAATTCAATAAGTTTTGCAAACAGAAGGGAATCGCAAGACATCTAACTGCTCCGTATACACCACAACAGAACGGCGTGGTAGAAAGAAGGAATCGAACACTAATGGAGATGACGAGAAGTGTTCTTAAGGCGATGAGAATACCAAAATTCTTATGGGGAGAAGCTGTTCGTCATTCAGTCTACATCATCAACCGAGTTCCCTCAAAAGCCTTGAAGGATGAAACACCATACGAGAGTCTTACTAAGAAGAAACCAAATGTGCAACACCCAAGGGTTTTTGGGTGTGTAGCTCATGCCAAGATAACTGGTCCCTACCTTAAGAAGCTAGACGAGAGATCAAAGACTGTAATCAATCTTGGAACTGAGCAGGGCTCCAAGGCATACAGGCTGTATGATCCGATAGCCAAGAAAATAATGGTGAACAGGGATGTGGTATTTGAAGAAAACAAAGCATGGGATTGGTCTTCCTTAGTAAACAATACAGATGGTAAACCGGGAAAATTTACATTACCAAGGTATGGTTCTTTAGAAGCCAACGGAGATGCAGACATTCAACAATATGGAAACGAAGATGAGGATCAGAACGAACCTCATGAGGAACAAAACGATAACGATGGAGGAGGAGAAGACAACAACCATCACAATAACCATCAAGAGGAAGAACCAGAACCTGTTTTTACAAGATATGGGCGCAAGGTAAATCTGCCAACATATCTTAGCGACTATGTCATGTTCGCTGATGAAGAAGGCGAACACCTGTTGCTTACGATCGATGGTGAACCTGAAAACTATCATGAAGCTGCAGATCTACAAGAATGGGTAGATGCGATGATAGCAGAATTAGAATCCATTTCAAAGAATGGCACATGGGAGCTCGTTGATAAACCTGATGGGGTGAAGCCTATAGGATTGAAGTGGATCTACAAGCTAAAGAAGAATGCAGATGGCTCAGTGAACAAGCACAAAGCCAGACTTGTTGCGAAAGGCTATGTACAGCAGCACGGAATTGACTTCGATGAAGTGTTTACCCCTGTAGCACGAATCGAAACAATCCGTCTACTAATAGCCTTTGCAGCAACAAGAGGCTGGGAAATACATCATTTAGACGTCAAAACTGCATTCCTGAATGGCGATCTAAACGAGCTGGTTTATGTCACTCAACCTGAAGGATTCGTTAAGAAGGGAGAAGAGAACCGTGTGTATAAGCTTCATAAAGCACTATATGGTTTACGACAAGCCCCTAGAGCATGAAATGTAAAACTTGATCATGTCCTAAAGGGGATGAACTTTAAGAGATGCTTAAAGGAAACCTCAGTATACTTCAAGAAGACGGGGAGGGACTTTTTGATAGTAGCAATTTATGTCGATGATTTGTTCGTAACAGAAACCTCCAGGACAATCATTGATCGATTTAAACAGGATATGTCAAGAAGATTTGAGATGTCAGACCTCGGAAAACTGACATATTACCTTGGGATTGAAGTATTTCAAGGAGAAGATGGGATCAGAATCAAACAGGAGAGATACGCGAAAGGCATTCTAGCTGATACGAATATGGATTCATGCAATCCGACTCATGTGCCAATGGAGTCCGGTTTAAAGCTTTCTAAGGCGGAAGACGAAGCAGAGATAGATGCAACAGCTTATAGAAGAGCTATAGGGTGCTTAAGGTATCTTCTTCACACAAGACCAGACTTAGCTTTTGCCGTTGGAGTACTTAGTCGTTATATGCAAAGTCCGAGAGAATCATATGGACAAGCATTGAAACAAGTCTTGAGGTACATAAGAGGTACAACAAATCAAGGATTGTTCTTCAAGAAGGATGGGACAAAGAGGCTCATAGGATATAGTGACAGCAGTCACAATATTGATGTAGACGACGGTAAAAGCACCTCAGGTCATGTCTTCTACTTCGGAGCATCACCAATTACGTGGACATCACAGAAGCAACCAATCGTTGCTTTGTCATCGTGTGAGGCAGAGTTTATGGCAGCAACAGAAGCAGCAAAGCAAGCTATATGGCTCAAAGAGCTGTTAAAAGAGATTCAGGATGGTGACGAGAAGGTCATACTAAGGATCGACAACAAATCAGCCATTGCCCTCACAAAGAACCCGGTATTCCACAGCAGAAGCAAACATATTCTCTCGAGATACCATTTTATACGTGAGTGTGTAGAGAATGATCAGATCGAAGTAGAGCATGTACCAGGAACAGAGCAAAAGGCGGATATCCTTACTAAGCCGTTAGCAAGGATCAAGTTCGAAGAAATGAGAAGCCTCATTGGAGTTCAAGCAATCGAAGTCCTCAAGATTCAAACTAGAATTAAAGGGGAGAATATTGGATAATTCCAGTAACTTCCAGAAGAAGTTATCTTTAGGAGTAGCTAAAGATATATAGAATAGGAAATATCAAGAATGGAAAAGATGTGTTTTCCATTCCTAATAGACTAAGGAGTAGCTTAAGCTTATAAATAAGAGATTATGGAAAGATGTTTCATAAGATTCAAGAGAGAGAGAGGTTTAGTTTTGTGAAGTTTCTAAATCTAATAAGAAGAGTAGTTCTTATACTTTCTTGTGTTTGATATACTATATCGACTTAAAATAGCTTTCTGAGTCGTAGCGCCTTTTCAGTTTAGGCAAGCTCATACACTGTCCTGTGTTAGGACTACATATCATATGCACTGTATCCTTATCCTCATCACTATCATCATCCTCTTTTGGGGTTTTAGGTTTAGATTTCTGTTATCCGTTCGGTTACTCAGATTTTTGTTAAAAGGAATGTTTACAAATTTGAGGTCCTTTAGAATATTGGGCTTAGATTTTCCATTTTAATGGAAATTAAAATCCAAAAGGATTTTCCAGTGACCCTAGGCGAGTAACCCGTCGCAGACAAACATCTCTCTTTTCTATTACAATGGACGTTACTGAAGAATCTATTCCGAAATCCACCTCCAATCCACCATTGGAAAACGGTTCACTTCATTCTTGAGGAGGAGATGGTGCAAGTTAAATGTTCATGTGTGACACCAGAGGTTGTATATAAACGTGACTCATGTTTTATCGGGGTTAAAGTAGAAAACATAAAACTGTTCAGGTTTTGTATATCTCATCGACAAAACAACTTCACCCGTAGCAGTTGGAATGAAAACATAATCGTGGTCAACCCGGCAGAGTGTAGACATATTCCGACCATTCCTGTTTCTTGACATCCTTTAGACATCACACGTGTACGCCTTTCACAAGCGTTACCTTGCAGCCAACGTATCCGTACACGTGTGATGCGTACACATTTGTCTTTGCATATAGTATTCATTGTTCTCTAGTGCAAATGGTTTGTGCTGCACTCCTTCGTATTCAAGGCCTTGAGTTCTGTACACCATTTGTTTTTTTTTATTTCTTCAAAATTTTGCTTAAAAGAAATTAGCTTATAATTTTTTTCTTCTAAATCATATGAACAATCCCTTCTTTTCATAACATATTTCTTTCTTACTTGGAAGAAACTATGATATAATTACTTGACAAAAAACTATAATAAAATTATACATTTTTTTTTCTTATTTTAGAGGGATCTTTGACAATGCTTTATAAATTTAGTAATTAATATGTTCATATATATCCATAATAAATAATAAAACAGTGGTTGAAAAAAAATAAGAATAAAAAACTATGAACAAATATTTGATATAAAACTAAAATAAATGAAATATATATATATATATAGGACTCATAATTTGGTAGATGTTTTCAATATATAATATGAAAAATAAATAGTCGCTATATTTTAGAAATATGTTATTGAAAATGAAATTATTTGGTCGATTATAATACTATTTCCATAACAAATATCATCATAAATAAATAACTTAGAATTTATAGTTTTTTTAAAATTATTTTTTGACCCTTGTAAAATAATTTCTGGGTCCGCCATTGCTTGTGAGACAAGCTGATTTTGGGTGATGTGTAACATACTCCCGAGGCTTATGGTTTAGGTTTCGCTGTTTTGGCTCGCTTGATCACAAAATGTCAAGTTCTTATGATATTAATTATAAAGCTTCGATGGTATTACAAGAATCAAAATCTCTGGTCAATCTTCTTTCAGTCAAGCAGAAAGGAGTTGGCTGAGGATATTGATTCCTTGAAGAAGAAGATTGCAGGGACCGAATAGATTCATTAAAACAAAACAAGAAAAAAACAGCTCTGTTTCTGGGGTTTTCATGTAATATGATTATTATACTCTGTTTCAACAACGTATCTTTTGCAGTCTGAAAGTATTATCTTTAGATCCAAGGGCATTGAAACAAATTAGTTTTAAGGAAAGGCACATACTTAAAAATTGACCCCAATTCTACAGACGAAGATGGTCAAAACATGCACTTTTACATCATCATATGCTACTAGTGTAGATATCATGGTTGCTTCAGACGCACACAAGCTAACTACTTGTGGTTTTTGAATACTATTACCTTAAGAAGAAGGAGAAGAAGAAAAAAAGGCTGCATTTAACAAAATCAAAAGATATGGTTGATTCTAGGGACGGATGGTGAGCTGGGCTCGGAGATGAAGGACGTCGTTGATGAAATAGGGACTATCCGTAGCAATGAAACTATCCCATGATGTCGAAAACAAGTTCGTGGTACCAACACCTATACCTGCGTCGAACTTAAAGTTTCCTTTGTATTTAAAGGCAAACTCATCTGTTGGCTTCGACCTCGCTGAGAACTCGTAGTCCACAATCATATTCGCCGGTCCTTTTTCTTGCATCCCAAGAAACAATCCAAAACAGTGAAACAGATTCATCTGGTCCAGCTTGCAATGACCCGAGAGAAAGAACTCTTGTCCTCCTAAGTCAAACGGTTGAGAAAACACCCGCCCTGACGGATACATGGCCGCGCATTCTTTGCGTTGCAAGTCCAAGTAAACGATGCATTGTTGGCGAGGAACCTTGAATTCCACAATCTTGATGAGTCTTAATGTGTAGTCTCGTTTAACAAACCGGTCCTTTAGGGGGGTGGGTTGTTCAGTGGCTGAACTGTATCGATGGTGCCGCGGTTCTATCTTGTGGAGGAGAGCTTCAACGACTAGTTTCGATACGATCTTAGGTTTGAAGTCGTCTGAGGTCAAGATTTTCTTGAGCCTGAGGGATGACATGTGAGGGAAACGGATGAAGCGAGCGAGATGTGTATCCATGATCTCGCTGCGTTCTTTTACATCTGAGTAATGTGATCTTAACCATTTCAAGACAGCTTCGTATACAATGTTTTCAGACGGAACCATTAGATCGTTGCTCGCTAGTATTGCCTTGAAACCTAGTAACGGTAAAGCCATCACCTCACTCATTGGAAACCTATCAAAATGTGAGGATGCATTTGTTTCAAAAATATATATATACAGAAGAAAAGAATGCTTTGAAAGTTTGAGAGGATAAAAAAAAAAAAGGCATACATACTTTGTTATATCCTTGTAGCGCAAGGCGATGAATTGCTTTGCGGCATTTGTCAGAGGCTTTACGGAATCAGCTATTAGCAGAGTAGAAGGAAGATCAAGAAGAAGCAATGCAGAGTCTAATGTCATTGGCATATTCAGCAACAAATGGCTACAATGCTTCATACACGAAGCTACCTCAAACTTGTCTGCGGCCATTAGAACATCGAGCAAAGCAGGGGTCGTCGTCACTGTTAGTGAATTGCTATACATGAACTTCAAGAGCTCCATTACTGCAGCTTCCTCTGCACACATATGGAAATCCCCAAATTTAATTTCATAAATGATATCACCAGAAAGATATAAAGTATTCAAATGTTAAGAGAATTGCAAATACCAGAAACATCTATTTGCAAGGTCACGTGTTTTTGCTCCGACTCAAGCATTCCATTAGAGAACATCTGTGAGAAAACAGAAATGAGAATGAGGTTTTGTACATCATGTGCATTGGATTTAATATATTTCTTCACACTAACATTGTTATCCATCCTCACATTAAATTTAAATCTTTATACCTTGTGGAAAAAAGGGCTTTTGGCTGCCAATAGCAGAGAGCTTATATGTAATTCTGTAGCTCTAAGAACTGAAGTATTAGTCGCCATACCCAAGGAATGATACTCAGTACCAACTTCACCACCTGCAATTGCAAACACCGTTGGTTCCCTTTTGAATCTTCATATTTGTCGAAAAAGCTAAATCACATGCAAGGATGGTCATATGATTCATATATATACCTGATTCGGATTCATGTTTTGTCGTTACCATTGTTGCTTCTCCATGTTTGTTGTTGTGGTTCTCATCATTCCTCTCACATGAGTTCTTGTTTAACTCAAACTCCACTTGAGATGTAGCAAGATCCAACACTGAAATATCATATCCCAAATTCTATCAAGATCACCGAAACAAAATGCTATCAAAGCAAGCACAAGAACAAAACAGCCAACATATAAACACATCATTTTCTCAAATCCCAGGTTCTAAAAGCAAACAAGTTGATCATGGATGTCTCGCGTTTTTTAAACAATAACTTACCATTTAGTATTTTGCACATGATTATTACACGGTTTTACCACTACATGGGGTTTTGCCAGTTTTGGTTATCTAGCAAAATATTGGGACGAAGGAAAAAGAACAAACCATGAGTCTCATTTTGGGCGTCTTCTCTTCTGCGTTTGCGATCTCTAACCCAATCGACGATACTGGAACACTCAACATCGCCACCACGAGTGATCTCGATCCGAAGAAGACGGTCGGAGAACTTAACGTTGTTGTAAGCGAACCCAAAACCGCCGTCCGAATCCGCATTCATACCCATCGTTAAGTAATTTGGTTAAATTAATTTAGCTGTAAGAGAGTTCAGTTTGATAAACCGGAAGAGTTGGTGAAGATCTGTGGAAGGGTATGCCAATTTATAGGGATTCAAACAAAAGGAAAGCTCATTGGCTGTAACAGAGCCATTCAACGTTTCCTTCTCTGGTGCGCTCTACATATACAACCCACATGTCATGTCATTAATGTCTCTAGATAAACATCATTAAATATAGTTTGATAGGATTTGTACTAAAATGGACATTTCACCTAAAGAATATCAGAAAACAATGACTGTGATTACTTTTCTTTTACCAAAATTAGCATATGCTATCTAATCAACTTAGGTACGAAAATTAATTCACACTTTTTTTATTCAAACTTCCGTTTTGTAATTTCAAATATAAAAGGTATCACATTAGATTGGTTCCTTTGTGAATGTTTGTTCTAGAATATATTGCCAATTCTTTAGTCAATATTTTGATTTGAACTTATTAGTTGCTTAAGAAGGAAAAAAAAACCTTCACCGTTGACAAATAAAACTCTGAATTTATTTTTATGGGTAGATAATAAATATCCTGAATTTTTGATTAAAGATAGGATAACTCCATGCTAATAAAATGGTCTAAAATCTCCTTTTATATATACTAGATACTTATCCGTGTTACGCTGCGGTATATTTTTCTAATTTTGTATATATTTTTAATATAATAAAATTATTTTATAATATAAATGAGTATTGTATTCTTTTTATTAACTTAAGTTATGTATTGATATATTTTAAATCTTATAAATATTGTATATTTTTTAAAATTATAATTTACAATTAAATTTGGTTAGCTAACTAATTATAAATGTATATGTAAGAATAAAAAATGCACTTTTAGTACCTTTATGCTAATGGTAAATATAATCTATTAACTCCAATAAATTGCCATTTGATCCTTTTTTGTAATTATATAAAGAAAAGTGCCATTTTTAAAAAAGATTTATAATTAATATGATTATCGTTAATTATAAAATTTATTTATTTATCAAATATTTATTATAAACATATATTTCTCAAACTACCAAACTATAAATAAAAACATTCATATCAAAACCATTGCTATTGCTTTAGAACTAAATAGAAAATTCTGTTTGAACTCTTGAAATATCATTTTAGTTAAAGTTAAATAATAAAATTTTGGCGACTGTAATACACTTTAACTTAAAAATTTAGCATAGAGAAATTTTATCTTCTTACAAAAACCGAGAAATCGCATTTCTCGTCAAACAAAAAAAATTCATTTTCTCATGAAACTGAGAAATCGTATATTCCCGCCAAAACCAACAAAAATTATTCTTTCGTCAAACTTAAAATCTAAAAGTTCATTTTCCGGCAAAAACTTGTGTTTTTCTGCCAAAACCGAGAAATCACGTTTTTTCACTAAAACAAAAAAATTTCATTTTCCTTCAAAAACAAAAAAAAAAAACATATTTTCCAGTCAAAACCAATAAATTTATTTTTCTGCAAAAACCGAGAAATCGTCTATTCCCGCCAAAAAAAAAAATCATTTTCTCATCAAACTAAAAATCACGCTTTCCTACCAAAACAGATAAATTGTGTTTTCCGGCAAAAACTAAGAAATTGTATTTTTACGCGAAAACTAAGAAATTGTATTTTCTCGCAAAACCCAAAAAATCACGTTATTCGTCAAAAACTGAAAATTTGCATTTCCCATCTAAACCGAGAAATTGCCTATTCCCGTCAAAACCTAGAAATTATGTTTTCCCATCATACCGAGAAATTACATTTTCCACCAAAATCATTAAACTGTAATTTCTCGTGAAAACTAATAAATCATATTTTTGCGTGAAAACCAAGAAATCGGTCAAAAGTCAAAAATTTGCATTTCCTATCAAAACTGAGAAATCGAATTTTTCGTCAAAATTGAAAAGTTGCATTCCGCATCAAAACTGAAATCGCATTTTTCCGTCAAAACTAAGATATTTTGTTTTCCCATCAAAATTAATTTTTTTTTGTTTTCTCACCAAAACCAAGAATTCACATTTTCCCGCCGAACCCGAAAGTTTTGCTACCAAAACTGAAAATCACATTTTTTACTGAAATCAAGAAATCCACTATTCCCGGCAAAACAAAGAAATTTCTTATTCCCGCCAAAGTCAAGAAAATTTGTTTTCTCGTCAAAGCATGGTTGATGTTAAGCTTACACTTTTTTCAATCATATACGTCTATGTCAAACAAACAGATAGCTAAAATTTTTTATTATTATATATTTGTTGTTATTTATTATTCGGGTTTGGGTTTGGCAAAAAATAAAATAAAAATTTAATTTTTTTTATTTGTTTTTATTTATTATTTAGCTTTGAATTTGGTAAAAATTATAATAAAGATTTTTTTATTTGCTGTTATTAATTATTTGGGTTTTTGTTTGGTAAAAGATAAAACAAAGATTAATAGAAAAAGTATTTAAATTTTTAATGGGTTTAAGTTTAAAATTTAAAAAATATGTAGATGAGTTGTATTAATAAAATGTTTTGATTGGTGATTATTTTTGCTGAGGTGTCATGTTTGTAAAGCTTCAAAAAACTGATGTGTCAAGCTATGAAGAGACTTGAGTGTCATTGTTGTGTTGATTAAAGCAGAAAATGTAAAATAAGATTTTCTATTTGTTTTACATTTAGTTTTAGGAAGTTACTCATGATAGTTTATGAATTGATAAAATTCTTACAGTAAAAAGCCAAGTCAATTCTAACCAAAATTGTGTAAAACTTTATTTTAGGGCATACAATTCGAGATTATTTAAATTATAAAAAATATATGTAATTGAAAATAAAAAGTTATTTAAATAGTATACCGCTTTGGCGATATATAGAAAGTTAATTATAATTTTATAAGAACATGGATTTTACCTTTTATGAAATTAGGTAATAGATTTAAATGAACCATATCATTTTAATCGTTAAAATGATACACATGCAAAATATTTTAAAGTCATGAATTTTATCTTTTCTGAAATTAGATAATGAATTTAAGTGAATCGGATCATTTAAGTTACTAAAATGATATATATATACATATATATATATGCAAATTATTTTAAGGTTGCGAATTTTACTTTTTCTGAAATTAGATAATGAATTTATGTGAATGGGATCATTGAAGTTGCTAAAATGATATATATGCAAATTATTTTAAGGTTGTGAATTTTATCTTTTCTGAAATTAGATAATAAATTTATGTGAATCGGATCATTTAAGTTGCTAATATATATGGTGCAAATTATCTTGAATTTTACCTTTTTGGAATCAATACAACAATAACTCATAAGTCACTCCATATGTTGACAACTCAGCTTTTTTATGTTATTAGAAGCTGACACATCAGCAAAATATTGAACCAATTAAAACATTTCATTAATACACTTCATCTCAATATTTTAACACATAGGCAAAAAAATTTCTTTTTATCATCAAAATTTTTCATTAATAAGACCCAGTATGGACAGTACATAGAAATTGAAGCCCAATATTATTATTTTGGGATAACTGCAAAATAAACCTTGGTTATATCGATGACAAAAATTAAAACACACCATTTTTAATAATGTACTATGTGTTGTTTTATAATTTTTTCTTTTAATTTTTTAAAAAGAACAAACTGAAGCTCATTGTATATTATCGACATCTTCTTTCTCCTTTTCCCTATCATCATCTTCTTCATCCATCTTTTTCAATTATTCTAGAAATTATCTAATTAACCTAACTAATTGATAAAGTTTATTGGCAAACAAACCTAAAATTCTAATGAATCAATTAATATTGTTATCTCATCAAACTTACGATTTCACTTCTAAGATTTTAACTTTGTAGCAACTTTGTGGGAAAGAAGGATTTTTTAACCATGGATATATTCAGGAGATATGGTGGTTCTCGAAAGAGTTTGAAAAAGATCTACAAACGCATTGTGAAGATAAATTTTCTGAAAGTTGAAACTTTAAAGTGGTAAAGCTTTATCCCTGATGCTAAAGACGAATGAGATATCCAATTACAGTAACACCAAATGTAGTTTAAGCTGTATTTAAGCTTGCGTTTAATACTTTAATATTTTGGGCCTTTGTATTTGGGTGTTACTCTTGCATCATATCTGTCATATGGCTTATTAATAAAACTATATCTAAATATAGTGTGAAGTTTGAAGGTTTGATATATACATATAAGTGTGACTAATGTTTATGTATGATAATGTTAATGTTTACATGTTTAAAGCAAAGATATGAGAAAAAGTAAAAAATCTAGAAAATTATGTTTTCTATATATTGAACTTAAATAATTTTTTATACTTTGACAAAGAGAGAGTGCACCAAATTTTAATTAATTATCAAAAGAATAAGTATTTTCTAATCAAGTTATTGTATACTTATGAATGAATATTTGAAAGTGTATTAAGTTTTTGAAAGCAAATATATTAAGTTTAAATTTATCAGAGATCTGATCGAAAAAGTTATCAACCGCCTGAATCTCGACCAGTGACTATGATCTAATAGATGAAAGAACCGCTGATATGATTTGGAGAATGGGAGGAATGGCGACATTGTGAAGCCATTTTCGTAGTTGCTAGACTTGTTTCTAGCATATGTGAGAAAAGAATAACTGAAGAAAAATAAAGTTATAAGATCTGAGGTCAATTAAATACGAGCTTCAAACATTTGACATGGTTATTTGTTTTCTTTCGATATATTTTGTAGCTTTTTTAATTTCTAGAGCTAAGGTGACGATCTGATCAATATATAAACTTAAGCTATAGTAAATATGTAAGCTAATGTGAATTGTTGTTTTATTTGTGGTTTTTTACTAAATATCTTTTTAATGCTAAAGAAATATTAATGTTAAAATAATTATTTTAGTTAGTGTAAAAAAAACATGCATTAAAAGTTTCATAATTAAAAATATGAATATAACCTGCGAGTAGAGAAATTTATGATCATAAGTAAAATTATAATAGTAAAATGTGTTTTTTTAGTCTTGGTTGAAAAATACGATTTCTCGATTTTACCAGAAAATATGATTTTACCAGTTTAGAAAAAAAAAATACAATTTTTCAGATTTCGTTAGAAAAGCATAATTTGTGGTTTTTTCGAAAAATAAGATCTTAGGTTTTTTTATTATTTTTAAATTTAAGAGTATTTTAGTCATTTTTCATTTTGAACTGAAACATCTCCATCAAGATGGTCCAATTTGGTTCATTCAGATAATTTTCATAAATTTATCTAAATCTTGAAAAATCATCTAGATAATTCATCTAAATATTTTTTGATTTTGTTACAAAACAAACAAAATTCTCATTTTTATTCAAATGAACCATATAGATGGAGAAATAAATAAGGCTTAAATCCAAAACTTATGGTAAATAAAGAAATAAATATAATATTTATTTATACTGTAAAAAATAAGTTTTTTATTTTTAAAATATATAAAATTTAGAATAACATCTCGCAGCATAGCGCGGGTAAATACCTAGTTTAGATAATAAAACTAAGTGGATGGGATCATGTTAATCGTTAACTTAATATCTATGCAAATTATCTTATAAGATTGTGAATGTTACTTTCTCCAAAATCAGATAAAAATTTTAAGTGAATGAGATCATGTTGTACCGCCGTGAAAATGGTGTTCAAGCATGCAACATGTTTGGATCCTCGGTTACCCACAAGATCTTTACTATGAAGATCGTATGAATATATGTGTTTTAGATGTTTGCCTTTGTGTGATGGGTTGCCACGAGTTTACTTATGCTGATGTTTGGACTAAAAGGGAATCTTGAACTAAACTGTTTAGGGTGACAAAACCGGACGGTGTACTAAAGTTGAATTTTATGAGACCTATGCTCTATTCCAAGGACAGTAGCAAGGCTTTGCTAGAGGTAAACATTGAAAAGCTCGTGTGGTTTCATTTGGAGAGAAAGATATTTTAAACGCTTGGTATAGAGGGCTGTGATGATGGCTCATGGAGAGCAGAAATCGTCGTGAGTAGCCTTGTTTTTGGATGTAAAGGAGATCCTCGCAGGGCTTGGGGAAAATAAAAGGATGCAAAAGAGTAACACAAGGTCGTAACCTTATTCTTTTGATATTTTAGGAATGCAAATGGTGAAATGATCAACATGCTTAAACATATAATGTTACAATCTCAGGGATGGTTTTCTGTCTTCAAGCTGAAGTTATGAGCAAAGTAGAGGAACTTCGAAGCCCAAACGTACATTAAGGTAAGTGTAATGAATCCAATGGTCATGAGTGTTTCCCTCAAACTGGTATTATTTAAAATATATATTAAGCCATTTCTTCTTTTGTTTCGATGTGAGATTCCCAATCTTAACCTAGATACATTATTTTGGAAGTGTTAGCAAGTGAAACTTGAGCCAACATCATAGGTTAACGTTTACAATTTAGGAGAAAACTGACTATTTATAGAGCTTTCATTGAATCCTAATCATATATGAGGTCTTAATTAGTACTAATTCGCTAAACCTATGTCTTACGTATATGTCCTAAGATAAGATAGTGCAAATGTTCAATCTAAGATCTAGGTTATCAAAAGGAATGAGAGAGCAAAGGATATGAATGTTCATTTAACTCTCTCCTCTAGAATATACAAAAAGGTTTATGTTTCGTGACTTTTAAAAGAACAAAAAGTTAAGAGTATTCAAGTTTTATGATCAGCATGCGGTTGACAGTGTCTTAATTTTTCTGAAAAAAACTTGCTAATTTTAATTTCATTAATTTGCACTTTACACAAAAGAGAACAACGATGCAGTCTCAAGTTGGGAATGTAGACCAAACTGGTTTTAGATTTTCTTTTTATATTTGGGAAAAGTTTCGTTCCCGCATGTTGAAAAGAAGAGACTTGTGACTAGTGCTAAAACGAGGTTTTTTGCTTGGTGAAAAGTTCCTTGCTAGACAAGTTGTTTTTGGAAGTGGGAGTTGTCTTTGCGGCTTGTTTAGAGTAAAAGTTGGATAACGCTATGTTATACATCTCGTATACAAAACTAAACATACAAATATATATTTTGGTGGTGACTGGTGAAGCTAGATCATCAGAAAATAAAGAAGACGATCAGAATGAGCTATTGTAACAATGTCAATAAATCATGACTGTTTTCCTTTCTTCTCTCGAGTATAATAATATAACCATTCAAATCTGCATAAATACTGAAATTTAAAAGAGTAAACAAACAACTACAAAAATGTTTCTTCTTCTTCTTCTTCTCAATATGCATCCCGTCTCTCCCAAAAAGATTCTTCATTTCAGTTAAATAATCTCATGTAAATTCTCCTACCCCTTAGTTATCATTGTTGCTGAATGCTGAGAATCACAATATTGTGAGTACTCACGCCTGCAAGGACTATTCCTCACCTGAAAGCGAATGCTGATAAAGACCAAGAACTGAAATTCACAGTATTTAATGAATTTAATGGTATCTTAGCCTGAATTGAAATTCATCATTTGCATCGTCAACATTAAGATCCTCCAGGTTGCCACTAAGATCCTCTACATGATCTACAACGGTGTTAACATAATGACCCACAAACTCTTGAACGTGTCCTTCAAAACCTTGCATATCAACACGTTGGAGTGTGTTCCTCTCGGGATTAAAGTAGAAACATAAATTTTTCTAAATGTTGTAAATCTAATCGACAAAACAATTTCACCCAAAGCAGTCACTCCAGCTACGAAAACATAATCAACTGGTTCGTTACCCGGCAAAGTGTAGACATACTCCGACCATTCGTGTTTCTCGACATCCTCTAGAACCCACATACGCATCACACGTGTACCAATCTCATCTTCACCATCCTGCCAGGGCCAAAGAATCCCACATAATTTACCCTTATAGTTTATCAGCTTAGGTGGAGGTAATCTTTGCAAATCAAAGCAAGATGCGTCAATAATCTTGAATTTCTCAGACCGAACATCAAAGCAAACTATCAAAGGAATCTCAACGGCCTTTTCAGCAAAGAGATACAAAACCCCTTTGATACATATCCCTCCTCGCATAAGAAGATGGCTTGAGGGACAAGGGATCTTCCTCCACCTCATGTCTCCACTTCCTAATGTCAGAACTCTATGATCTTCGCTTTCATCATAACCCATGGACAGTACCTTGAATTGCTTGTCGATAGGATCAAACCCTAAATAGCTTTTTGAACTATCGCGCCTTTTCAACTTAGGTAATCTCCTACACTGTCTTGTGCTAGGGTTACATATCGCATGCACTACATACTCTTTTGGGTTTTTCCAATGAATGAAAGAGAAGCAGATCAAACCAGAGGCATAACCACAAAAGCGTGGATCATTCCGCGAGCATTTAATGAAGTTGATATGAAAACCGGCGTCCACTACAAGAGACGACGGCTTCTCATATGGGTTATGAGGCTGACGCGACGAGAAGAAGAACAACCGATCATGATGTCCTTCAAGGATGAATAAGAGACGTGGACGAGCCGAGGATCTTGTCAGGAACAAATCGGTGAAATATGGATGGCGAAACATGGAACCCCATCGCTTCGACACGCAACGAAACCTTGCGATTGACCTTAAAGGCAGTCTCGAGAGAATCTCGATAGCAAGATCATTTGGGATGGAGGTCATGGTTGTCGTTTCTGCTGAAGGGGAGAGATTTTTTTTTTTTAATGCTAGAGAAACCTATATAAGAAGACCTAGCTATACCATCGTGGCAGTAAAAAAAAGTAAGCAAAAATAAAATAAAAAAGAAAAATATGATAGGGCTAAAATTCGAAGTCTAACCTGGTTTGGCCACGAAAAATATTGGATTTGAATTTTGATATATAAACCTAAAAAAATATGGCATTTCCGACCAATTTCATTCAGATCATCAATTTTTAGAATTAAAATTGACGAAGTATGAGCTTACCTAAAAAAGTTTTACAATTTATATTTTAGTTTATTTAAAATTTTTTATTATAGAATAATTTTGTTTAAAAATACAAATTTAGATATTTTTTTAGTTAATTGGAAACTAATTTTTTAGCTCTATACTTTTCTATAAATTTCAAGTTAAATTATATCTATATTTTAAATCTAGAGTTTTTACTATATAAATTGAAAGTGTTTTTAAATTTTATTATTATTTATTATTATTATTAATTTGGATTTTTTTGATCAAATTTTTTCTTTTAACTTGAATTGAACTTGATAAATCATATGAATAATTGTTTTATTTATATTTATTTTTAATAATTCTTTTTCCTTTTTATATAATTTTTATTTTTATTTTAAAGTCTAAACAAAAAAACCATATAGCTTGATTAGAGTCGGACTTTAAAATATAGGTCCCGTAATTTTTTTGACTGAATCAGACTGAGCTTAGATATATATGTGGGCTTTACGAATTTAGCCCCGGCCGAGCAAAATCAGCCCATTTTTTTTGGTATTTTGCAATGTGCAACTCAGGAATACTAAATCGCAAGTTACCATTAGGCATGTGATCATCACTGACCATTCGAATCTACTTAAATACTGAAACTTAAAAGAACAAAACATTAAACAACTACAAAACTTGGCTTCTTTTTTTTCTCAATATGCCTTCCCTCTCTCCCAAAATGTTTTTCAATAACATCATTTCATGTAAAAATTACTCTTCTCCCTTAGTTATCATTGTTTCTGAGAATCACAGTACTGTGAGTACTTACAGCTGCAAGGATACTTCCTCACCTGCAAAAAGTTTGAACCTTTCTCCTCAGTATCACCCGGAAAACCTTACTTTTCTGCATGAATCGGTCACACAGTCGTTTAGAAACTACTAGTTAATGATGTGATTACCTTCCGAAGTGTGAAAGATACTCTTCTGGGACTTCTTCTGATCACTTTCTCCTTCACCTTATCAATCTATAGAGCGCACAGTAGAACAGAGCTTCAAAGAATTAGTAAAACTAGAAGAAGAAGAAAAACAGAGGTTGATAGAGAATATATAAACCTTGTGATGTGGAATGTAGTGATTCCAAGCGTAGCGTGCTTCCCCGGATAATAAGAGCATAGACCGAGGAGGCAGATACAACGCTTTCTTGATGCAAGTGTCATGATCTGACTTCTCTTCACCATCATTCGTTGAGGCTACTTTCCATGTTGAAACAGAGTATCTTCTAAACTCCATAATACAAGGACCAGCTAAAGAAAGGCTGAAAATGCAATCTTCAAATGCTGAATGTGTGTCAATGTGAGGAGATAAACCCACACCAGATGGGTACTCATTCACCTAAACGACATCATTCGATAGAGTTCCTCAGCCTTTCAATAACATTATACAAGAAACTAGTAGTTGAGAGTGGGGTGATGTATACCGTTAATTGGTCCAGATTCAAATCGCAGTCAAGGTTCGGGAGCAATGAGATTCTTTCGAGTATAGGAGAAACGAACGATGGAAGCTCGCCGAGACGCTTCTTGGTATCAACGTTTCTCGTCCCGTAACAAAACTCATACCCGTAGTGTTGAACACGACGTTTGGCGAGACCAATCCAAGGCTGTGCATCAACAGCTGCAAGCAATTGCTGATAAAAGAGACCAAGAACAAATAAGTAAACCAAAGAGGTAGAGAAGGAATCAATCAAGTGCCTTCTACACACCTTAAAGCACACATTACAAGTCAAATGCTATATATATATATGGTACCTGTTCTTCTTCGGCAGTGACAAAATCCGGTAAAAGGAATAGCCCTGGGATATTCAAATCTGAATCAGCTAAAGAAACTGGGACACAGTCACTCACCTGCGTCTAAACAGAAAGAGTTTGAAGAGAATGCTCAATCACAAAACAAACATAAAGTTTCTGTCTTTGATAAATGCTGTTACCAATTTGAAATCCCCTCCAAAGAACCAACATTTCAACACATAAAAGATCAAAACTTTGAAACCAGAGATTATAGCAAGGAACTAATTTAAGCTAAAACATATCATACAATTCTGGATTTCTTGAAGCTTATCGAGAATATTTGTTAGATGTACCTGGGAAGGTAACTGGAGAACCGAGTATCGAATATGCAAAGTCCGTCCATCGAGGTCCGGACATGGCCGACCACCCAAGGCTTCTAGAGCAGATTTCGCCGAGAAAGGATCAGCGAAGGAGACGATGACACGAACGCCGCTATCGTCCGCCGCGTAGACGCCCTTCACTTCCCCGAAAGCAGAGAATACCGCCGCGATCGCGTCGTGTGACAGTCCGACCGCCGGGCCGCAATTCGCGACGTATAGGTTGGAGGAGTTCGGTTCTCCGGTGCCGGGGGAAGGCATTGATGGCGTCGGACGGACGAATCGCGGCTGAACCATTCTGTAACCAGTCCTTTTTCTCCGACCGACGATCTGGTGCTGTGGCAAGGCTTTTGATTAACGGCGCCGTAACTTCGCCGTATGTTTGTAAACGACGGCGTTTGGCTCTATAATAGGCCCAAATAGGCCCATTTTTATGTGGACATGGCATCTAGGCTTTCCTTTGCATGACGTCGTAGGAAAAAACCATACATTTCATTGACCATTGTCTTGAGCTTTCTTTTTTTATTTTTTGGTGTAAATTTTATTGAGTTTTCGTTTTTGACATTTTGATAAAATGATTAATAAATTATGATTGCGATTTGAATCCGGTTTTGAATCAAAACTATATTTAAGAAACAGTTTCCAGATCGTACAAGGTTCAAACAAAAAACCAGAACTAAATGCAAAAGGTAGAGATCTTATTTTGATACCAAAAACCAGAACATGTAGCAACTAGCAATCACCTTATTTTCTGCTAACTTTTTTTCTTATATATATAAAAAGGGCTTTCAAACTTTCTGCTAACTTTGCAAACTTTTTTTTGTTTTTGGTAAAAACTTTGCAAACGATATACAATGTTAAATTCAGAGGGCGGAAACAACATTAGAGGATTAATACTTTAAAACAACTACATGCAATGTAAAACCAACACAGACTATTACCAAAAACAAAAAAACAAAAAAACAATTTGAGAACTTGATTGTTTAAAGAGAAAGAGTACAAAGAGAGATCCCAAATAAAGCTTTTAGAGGAAGGGAAGCAATTGCAATTACGTAAACCCACCATCATCTAAAAGACACAGAGAATCAAATTTGTTAATGCTCTCAAACGTACGACCATGTTGTTGTCGCAGGTGAGCTCTAGCTGGTGTTGTTGAGGTGCCCGTGGGATTACGCTTCTGTGCTGGTGGGCTTATAAATATTGCAGCATCTGTCGTCTTCCCCATAATAAACCTAAGATCTTCTACATGGTTTACAAAGAGTTTGACGCTAGGAGAGTAAACACTAGAACCAATTTCGATTTTGTCAGGTCCAGCAAAACCCTTGATTTCAACACTTTGGAGAGTGTTTCTTTGGGGACTCAAGTAGAAAACGCAAAACGGCTTAGATGAATACCACGACCGCATGGACAAAACAATATCACCTGTAGCAGTCAGTCCAGCGATGGCAAGACGGCAGTTAGCATCGACTACGTCGTCCAAGCAATAGGAGAAATATTTAGACCATTCCGAATGATATTTCGGTTTCTCGACATCATTTATAACCGACATACACAACTTCAGGGAACGACTACGATTATACCGCACAGTAATCAAGCCTAGTTTACCCTTGTAGTTGATCAGTTTACTATCCTTACGAATAGTAAAATCTATATCTATAAACTTGAATTTTTCAGATCTAACATCAAAACAAACTATTAGAGTAGATGAATCACCGTCGCTTCGTCTAGCAACGTAGTACACAACCCCGTTGATGCACATCCCTACAAAGGACGATGGTTTAAGGGACAATAGATCTCCCTCCACGAATCGTTTCCTAGTGTCAAAATTTGGTCCGGCTCAGACGATGGACAAGGACAACTAATGGACAATACCTTGTATTGTTTGTCAATCGGATCAAACCCTAAAAGGCATCGTCTCCTCCCTTTAATTGAAGGTAAGCTCGCGTATTGTCCCGTGCTAGGGTTACATATCACATACACTATACGCACCTCAACTTTTGAGATCTGCGTAACTCTACTGACGAAAAAGACTAAAACAGAGGCATGACCACAAAACTTCCTGTATTTAGGGAACATCATCTGTGGTTCGGCCGTTACTACAAGAGACGACGACTTCTCATATGGATTCTGAGGCTGAGGCGACGTCAAGTAATACAAACTATTGAATCTTTTGACGGCGAATAAGAGATGGGGACGAGCCGAGGACCTTCTAGAAGATATTATATACGATTATGTTCTCGAATAGATCAAGACTGTTGGGTAATTCCAGTAACTTCTAGAAGAAATTATCTTTAGGAGTAGCTAAAGATATATAGAATAGGAAATATCAAGAATGGAAAAGATGTGTTTTCCATTCCTAATAGACTAAGGAGTAGCTTAGGTCTATAAATAAGAGGTTATGGAGAGATGTTCCATAAGACTCAAGAGAGAGATTTAGTTTTGTGAAGTTTCTAAATTTAATAAGAGGAGCAGTTCTTATATACTTTCTTGTGTTGTTGATACAATATCGACTTGAATTGGTATCAGAGCTTCAAGGAGGAAGTCTCGGACCTTAACATGCTGATATATCGGCTATGGCGGAAGTGAATAATCCGCAGCCACGAGCAAGGGAGATTGGAACCTCATCCATCCAATATCTGATGCTTACCTCGACAAACTACACAGTTTGGTCGATGAGAATGAGAGTTATACTTCGAGTGAATGAAGTATGGGAGACCATCGATCCGGGGTTAGCGAATCCAAAGAAGAATTACGCAGCAATAGCACTTCTTTTCCAATCGATTCCGGAGTCACTTATTCTTCAAGTGGGGGAACAAGAGACTTCAAAAGGCGTGTGGGAAGCCATTAAATCTCGACATCTTGGAGCAGATCGCGTGAGAGAAGCAAGACTACAGACCTTGATGACGGAATTTGACAAGCTAAAGATGAGCGATAAGGATTCGGTGGATGACTTCGCTGGAAAGATCTCAGGGCTTGCATCAAAAGCGGCCTCCCTCGGTGATGTCATAGAAGAGCCGAAGCTGGTGAAGAAATTTTTAAAGGGGCTCCCGAGAAACAAATACATACAAATAGTAGCTTCCTTAGAACAAGTCTTAGACCTAAATAAAACGGGGTTTGAAGACATTGTGGGGAGGTTAAAGGCGTATGAAGAGCGAGTAGGTGAGGAGACATCAGGAGAAGAACAGAGCAAGCTTATGTGGTCCGGTAACGATCAGGGTAGCCGCAGCGAACAGAATAACCGCGGGGGTTACGGTGGCAGAGGCAGAGGCCGAGGCGGTGGTAGAGGCAGAGGCCGAGGTCGTTCAAACAGAAACTCAGGAGGAGAAAACAAAGACGGTGCTCAGAACCGGAAGAAGGATATGAGCAAAGTACTCTGCTACAGATGCGACAAACCGGGACATTATGTAAACTCGTGTCCTGACTTACCAAAGAACCAAGAAACAAACCTAAACGAGACGCAGGAGGTGGATGCTCTCTATGTTCACGAAGTTGTTTTCTTAAACGAAGACAAGGTATTCCCAAAGAAGTATGACGCAAGCAACAAAGATTCAAGTATCTGGTACTTGGATAATGGAGCTAGCAATCATATGACGGGTAACAAAAGCTAATTCTCGAACTTAGATGAGAGTGTTAAAGGACGAGTGAAATTCGGAGATGGCTCACATGTGGAGATAGTTGGGAAAGGTATGATCATCTTTGTGGGTAAGACCGGAGAAAGAAGAGCCCTCAAAGATATCTACTACATTCCAGAACTAAAACACAATATAATTAGCCTTGGTCAAGCAACCGAAAATGGTTGTGAAGTCCGAATGAAGGGAGCTATTCTAACACTGCAAGATCCTCGGGAGAGACTCTTAGTTCGAGTCGTCAGATCAGCGAATAGGCTCTACAAAACACCTATGGAGATAAGCTACTCAAAGTGTCTTCAGATACAAGAAGAGGACCCGACGTGGACCTGGCATGCGAGGTTATGACATGTTAGTATCGGTGTTATGAATAACATGGTTAAGAATAAGATGGTTGATGGAATGCCGAAGGTATTACATGAGAAAAATACATGTATTGCATGCCTTGCTGGGAAACAAACGAGAGGCTCGTTCCCAGTTAAGACTGCCTTTCGTGCAACTCAAGTACTAGAACTTATCCATGGTGATTTGTGTGGGCCTATCTCTCCGCCAACACCAGCGAACAATCGCTACGTTTTCGTCTTGATAGACGATTTCTCGAGATACATGTGGATACTGTTGCTAAAGGAGAAGAGTGAGGCATTCGATCGGTTCAAAAGATACAAGGAGCTAGTCGAGAATCAAACTGGCTCGAAGATTAAATCCTTTCGCACCGATAGAGGAGGAGAGTTTACCTCGATAGTGTTTAACTCATTCTGTGAAGAGAATGGGATCTCGAGACAACTTACTGCACCCTACACACCACAGCAGAATGGTGTTGTAGAAAGAAGAAATCGGACTTTAATGGAGATGACCAGGAGCGTACTGAAGGCCATGAAGATTCCAAACTTCTTGTGGGGAGAAGCTGTAAGACATTCAGCTTACATCATTAACAGAGTTTCTACTAAAATTTTGGAGGATAAAACCCCATACGAGTGTTTCACATCCAGGAAACCTAACGTAGGACATCTGCGGGTTTTTGGGTGTATAGCTCATATAAAAATCATCGGACCACACCTAAAGAAACTAGACGAGAGATCGAAGCCAGTAATTAATCTTGGAACTGAGCCGAGTTCTAAAGCTTACAGGCTTTACGACCCAGTAACGAAGAAGGTGATGGTGAGAAGAGACGTGATTTTTGAAGAGACAAAGGCATGGGATTGGTCATCCGTAACAACAGATGACTATGGTGAACCTGGTACTTTTAAACTTCCTCGCTATGGCCCTATAGAAGACGGAGGAGACATTGATGTTCAAAACAATAATGAGCATCATGGTCAACCTCATATTGATCAAGACGAAGAAGAGGAAGATAATGAAGAGGAAGATAATGCAGAGGAAGATCACGACGAGAATCAAGAAGAAGAACCAGAGCCTATCTTAACCAGATATGGTCGAAAGGTGAATCTTCCCTCATACCTTAGCGACTACGTTATGCTTGCAGATGAAGAAGGAGAACAACTACTGCTTACTATCGATGGTGAGCCTGAAAACTACCATGAAGCAGCGAATCTACAGGAATGGGTAGATGCGATGATAGCAGAGTTAGAATCCATAACAAAGAATGGCACTTGGGAGCTCGTTGATAAACCTGATGGGGTGAAGCCCATAGGATTGAAGTGGATCTATAAACTAAAGAAGAATAAAGATGGTTCAGTGAATAAACACAAGGCAAGGCTTGTCGCGAAAGGCTATGTACAACAGCAGGGCATTGATTTCGATGAAGTGTTCGCACCTGTAGCACGAATCGAAACAA